TATAGAAGGAAAGTACCTCAACATAATAAAGCCAACGTACAACAAATCCATACAAACATGATACTCAACGGTGAAAAACTGAAAGCTATTCCTCTAAGAATAGGAACAAGACAAGGATGCCCACTTTTGCCACTCTTATTCAACACAATATCAGAAGTCTTAGAGCAATTAGGCAAGAAAAAGAAAAGAAAATATACACAAAAATAGAAATTTCAAAAGGACATTAACACACACACACACACACACACACACACACACATGCAAACATCTCGTGATGTAGTTTATGATAGATTTGGCAATGCCATTTACAACTTAATTGCTTAAGCTTGCATTATTAGTATTATCTTCAATTCAGTTTCTTGGCAGGAGACTCTTGTCCATTTTTTGAGGGCTAGTTTAGTTAGAATGAGAAAATCAAATCTGTAGGTATCGAAGCACGGCCATTTGAAACTGAATGCAGCAGGGACATCCTTCTGTGGAGTGGGTCTTCCACTCTTCCTTCAGCATACCTAGAATAACATATATGACTCTGCACCACCTGACATAGGAATCAAGTCAGGACATCAGGGTCAATCCGTGTTTAAAATATTTTTCGTTGAAAAAAATATAAGTATAGATTTTCATTACCTTACTCCTCTATATCCAATCCATTGGCAAACACATTCAGTTATACCTTCAAAATACATTCAGAATCTGATCAGCTCTCACTTTCTCCATCCAGGCCACCCTATTTGTTCCAAGCTGCCATCATCTGGATTAGCATAGTGGCCTCCCAACTGGTCTCCTTGCTTCTGTCCTTGGCCTCTGACTGCAGGCAACATGATCCCACTAAAATATGTGACATTTGTCTGCTCAATTGGTTTCTCATCTTAGAGAGAAAGCCCAAGACCTCACTATGGCACAAAAGGCCTTCTATGATGTGTCCCCCCATTACTTCTCTGCTCCTTGCTCACACAGACCTTTCCTAAATGACTTCTGTGGCCATAAAGAAGAATGCATTGGCCTTCTCACTTAGCCTGGAGACCTCACAGGGGGTGGTGGAAAATGCATTAACTATAAATAAAGACAGTCAAGAAAGAGTTTCCCTGTGAGGTAGTCAACTATGTTTCAATGCCTTTCCCCGACTAGGAAGAATCCTTTCTGAGAAATTCAGCAGGCAGAGGAACTCTGCCCTGAGCCAGTAATTCTACTGATGGCCACCAGGACCACAAAACTTTTCTGTTGAATAGATGTTTATTCCCTGATTTACTACAAATGCATGGTTTTATTTAAACAAAGAGCACATTTTCCTTATTTAATTTTGTAGATAAGTCTTTGAAAACGATGCATGTAATAAAGATTATTTGCAATACCCACATTTGATGCATCATCTTCACAACCACACAGTTTAACGTGAATTTAAATTCAGTCAATAATTCCAAGGTGACAGTTTTATCTACAAAGCCTCCATTTCTATTTCAACCAATTTATTTAATGGAACAATTTAGAGCACTTGTTTAAACTGATCCAAATAACACACACAGAAAAGTAAAGGGAAATAACTCTCAAATGCATTTTAATAAAGAAACCATTGCTGTTTTTAAAGCAATGAATTTTAGCTCAAATGTGAGTGTTAATTGTACAGTTTCTTATTAAAAAGATTCAAGGAAGATAGCAATGTAATCATCATAAAAATGTAAACTCAGATAAAACTATTCTCCCATAAAATATTGATGAACAAATATTAAGACCTTAAGTAAAACACATGCTGTGAAATGTAACCAGTGAAAACACTGAAAAAGAAATAAGATACAAAATTGTAAAATTCAAACACATGTTATGCTTCAACTCTCCCTTCTTTTGATTTCCATTGCTTCCTAGATGCATCTCATGTACAAATAGTTCAAGAAACCCGGTGATTTTCTTGATTACAAGGGCTGAGATGGCAATGATTGAACACTCTGCATTTTCTTTGGTAATAGAAAGCATGATTTATGAGAAAGGAATAAAAATCTAAGAAAACCACTCAATAAATTATCCAATTTTCACATCAAGCTGATTTAGAGCAAATTTCCTTCATGCTGCCAATATGGAAAATGCAGCTTACTGGATAAGAACACAGTGTTTAACAGAATATCTGGGTTTGCTTCCCTGTTCTTAGTAATTTTGTGACTGTCAACAAGGCACATAGCCTCTTATATATTCCAGTTTATTCATTTAAAAAGTGGGATAATAATAAAAAGGATGTCTAAAAGTGCAAGATGTACACCACTGGTGGCAGTCAAGATAGCTGGTTTAGTGATAGACTTTTTTCCAATACTGTTTATTTTAATGTGTATGAGAACAATACATAATTAGTATGTCAAATAAAAAACTTACAGAGATAATTTCTCAGGATAAGTCTAGGTAGCACCTGGGAATCTCTTTCTCAGAGAGTAGTTCTTTTCAGCTGTACTTCAAAACTTCATTTCCATAAACATGGACATTTAAAAAACTGTACAATTGTTTACACAAATGACTCAAATATTGGAAACAGAGCCTGAGTTCATGTGGAATATATGAAAATTAAAAGAAAAAGTGAGATAACATTCAAAAAGTACTTAGCATAGTGTCGGAGTGTATTAATTGTTATTATTTTTTCCTTCTGATCTATTATTGCCGTATTACCATAATGCTAATAAACCAAATATACTCCAGCCTGGCATGAAAGAAATTTATGATTATCTGTGCATAATAAAACCATCATCTGTTACTTTCCAAATGATTTATGTACAAAATGCATCACCAAGAAACCAAGAAAAAATAAAAGAAATTAGGAAAAAAAGAGAGGAGAAGAGCTTACAGAGGACAAATGAGCAAGGACCTTACAAAATTAAACAATATAAGCCTTTTATCATAAGATATTTGGTAAGATGATATATGTTACAGTGATAGTGGGGCTAAGCAAATCTGCCTATAAAATTTGAAGAACAATCACACCCAGTGAATAATACCTACACCATCTCCTTAACCTTTGAATCACAACATTCGAAATAAATAAAATAGCTTTTTACTTATTTATTTTTAAAAATTCCATTAAGTAATTCAGTACCTATCACTGTAATCAAGGTCTAAAACTTTTCCTGTAATTTCACTAATCTTTTCTGAATAGTTTTAAAAACAAAAGGGGAAAAAAGGCAATGTTAATATCTAACACAATATTGCTTGGAAATTCTCCTCTCTGATGCATGTTATGTGTTTCCTATTTAATTGCAATTGCAGTCAATATTTTCCTACAAGAAGTATTTCCCAAGAAAATATATCCTCAGCATTTTACGAATATATTTCTTTTAAACAGGATATTCTATATTTTATCCATCAACATCTAAAGTAGCTTTACTATTTTTGGGTTCCAAGTCTTATCACAAACTCACCCTAATTTTTTTTGACATTGGCAAAGGATCTTTCAATATTGATCAAAAGATAGTTAATATCTAATTTAAAATCTGGATGTCTTTAGTCACAGTAAGACTAAATTCCATAGTATCAATAGTTCTTAAACCAGAGAATTAACTGGGGACAGAACAGGGCCCAACCAGTGAAACTTCAAATGATGGGTAAGCTATGTGACAGCAAAACTCATCAGAAGTTTCACCTTGATGGCCTCCATGAATTTCTCCCCTAGAAAAGAGGGCTTTGGGTCAATGGATAAGTTAGACACTGAAGATTTGAGATAATACACAGAAATATCACCTAATGAGAGTTAATATGTGACAAATGACACTAGCTATCTTTGGAGACTTGGAGGAAACCTATTAATGACACTATGGGTGCCTCTCCAAATGATTCAAGAACTCAAATATACTCACCGAAAATTAGTTTAAAAAGGAATTTTCTACTTCTTGCTTGAAAGGTATAATACAACTACAATTATGTGATATGATCAAAAAGGAGCTTCTTCAAGTGGGTGAATTTCCCAGATAACTAAAGCTAATTTCTGGACAACAAACAAATGACTTGAAATCACCATCGAGCTTTATCAAGTTACTTATTAAATTTACCGTCCTCAGTGACTGTGTTGGCATTAGGGAATATTCTATTTTGATTGCTGGCCTTTACTGAAAAAGCCTTTTCCTGCCACATATCCTCTCTCGCCACATAACGCTCTCCAATCAGTCTCATAAAAATAATGAGAAATAAATATAACACATTTTTAAGAATGGCACTTGTTCTAATATTTAACAGTTCCAATATAGCAACACTCCTCTGAATCCCAGATAAATAAAGGAAAATCTCTTTTTGAGAGCTAAAAGAGGTACCTGACAATTTTTAACAATCCAGAACATGTAAATTTGTAACACGTTTTCCTGACAAAAATATCCATTTAATCATATTATAAATTAATTTGTTCACCACAAGCTTACTAACAAAGTTGAAATCAAATTTGTACTTAATTTTCTTTTACTGTTTTTAATCTCTATTTTTAAAAGTCACAGCTAACAGGCTGAAAAATCAGATAAAATTTTACAGTAGAAATTTGATTCACTTGGGAGCCATAAACCATAAACATTATCATTACGAAGTTACAATGATAAAATTTGTTATACAATCAAGTGGTCCAACTATAAATAAGCTTATTAGTTGGTACATTTCGTATTCCCAGAAAAGGAAAAAACTGACACATAGCTATTATCAAGGTATCACATGAAAACAAATTTAGGACCCATTATTATCAGGGTATCTTTATAATGTACATCCCATTAAGCTATTACTATTAATCTTGTTTTCATTTTTATTCACTTAACTTTAAAACATTTTTATAAATGACATAAATTTTTGTTCTGGAAAATATGTATTGATTATACTAGAATTTAGAAGTTCTTTAAAAACTCAACAACTATAAAAGGAAATTGATTGCAGAATAGGTCAGAAACAGGCTTGGTTTTTGCAGAAATGATATATTGTGAACTCATATTCTCAACACGTTCTAAGTAGTACAAAAAGTTCTGATGAAAGAGCACGCCAATAAATTTTGCACTTACTTTGGAGAGGCAAAGTGTCCGTAATACACTGTAAATCTAGCTCTTCAGCCCATCCCCCCTTTGGCAGGATCTGTATCATCTCCCAGTTACCATTCTCTGTCATGGACTCTGGTTGACTGTCGATTGGTGCCTTTCTCAATGTCTTCATGTGCTGTTGAACTTCCGCCAAGAGAACAGCTTGTATTGCTTCAGTAACCTGTAAAGTTTTTTTTTTAATGAATTATTTTTAGTACTATTACAAATGCTTGGGGTTTTGCACAAAACCCAAAGCCTGGAATTTTTATTTGAATTGGTTTCAGATATAAATTGCTTTGCTCCATTCCACTAGAATTAGCATCTGAAACAACTGAAATGCAGATACTGAGAATTGGCACTCAAACCACACACTGTTCTTCTTTTGCAAACTCAAGAGATTCTGAAAGGAAAGTTGAAGAATTCCCAATTCTTTCTCCTAAAATATTTTCATTTCCACCAGATGATAAAGAAAATTAATTTGAATATATCATATTGCTCTTAAAGACAAGCTTAGCTCCTCAAACAGTGTCTAGAACTAAAGCACTGTTTAGCTAAAAACACTTGATTTACACTAGGTTTAATACAGAAGGTTAAAGACAAGACTTTTATAATAAATCTCACTAAACTGTATGCATGTGTATGTGATTTTATACCACCTAAAATACCTCAAAGTGTGCCTTCCAATTATTGTACATACCCAGTCAAGGACCTGTATTTGGGTGTGTGGGGAGGATGCTTGTCACAGGGCATCGAATCCAATATTTTCATTTTTAACATGAAGAATCTGGGACATGACATCCCAAGGTCATAAAGACTTGGTAGACAGGACTTCTGACCCCTGATTCTATGTCCTTTGTAATATATGTCCTCCAGCGAGTCTATATCCTTGTCTCTCAATAAAAAGCCAGTGATGATGTACCTTAGCCTCTTCCTGGCAAGAGATGAGGCAAGGTCCAAGAATAGGACAGAGTTCAAGGAAAGCTAAGAGTCGAATCAGGAAAGGAAGAGAACCACTGATCTAGGTGGACTTGGGGCACCTCCCATTATCCTTCTTTGGCTCATAGTTAAACTTTTCATATAGCCACATCCCAATGTCTTTTCCCCTCAAAAGCCCGCCCTGTGTCAAGATGACTCATATTCCCCAATCGCCACTGTGCCTTCTGCATTATATCCAGTCTACCTATAGGATGCTTAGAGCTAGGGCTTTGGGACAACACCAATCGAGACTGGTGATCTAGAGATGCTGATGCCAAAAACAGAACAGATATTAATCTAAATATTTATCTAGTCTCTTTTATGTGTTGTGACAGCATATGAGACCTTTTGGCTCCAGGAACACTCAGAGAGCTTATGCTGATGTCAGTTGCTCACTGAACTTCTGGGGCAGAAGGAGCTGGGTATCTGACTTTTAAATATAGGAAGCTTTCCAAAAGTTTCAGAGCAGCTTCCTGACCACTGATCATTCACCTGTTCTTGTCCACTGAAATGATTGCTTAGGTTGTGAAAAAAGGATAATGAATGATGTGATTTTACTATTGCATACAATGTCTACTAACATTGTGGTACTGCCTGTCACAACATAGGTACATAATGCTTCTCATGCACATCACGTGAGGAAACACTCAACAATGTGATGGCTATTGAGTACCATGAATCTAACATATAGTTTTATGTATCATGACACTGGTGCATCATGCCTATTAATATCTACTATGTAATGAGATATAGGATATATTAACTATTAGATATGACATTTACTAACATACTACTCTATAGCACAATATAGATGAACCATGTTTATTTATGTATATCATATGATGGGAAAAACTGTACTAATTATTCATGAACAATTTTACATCACTGAACTTATTTCATTTTAGTTTTGTCACACATTTTATTTGATGGCACTGCTTTCAAGATGTGGATGATGTGGTAGAAACAGTTCTGAGTCAGAAATGAGAAGGCTCAAACTTCTGATCCAGCTATGACAGTTACTACAATGTAACCTTTGACAAGTCACGTATTACTCTGGGACTTCATGTCCTCACTTATAAAACAAAGTCTGTGATACTGAGAGAGGCTAGGATGAGAGCTTTCAATCACAGAATCCTGTACGGAACATGCTTCTGTCCATACCTATAAATCAAGAGTACATTAGAGGATGTCCTCAGACCCATCTATGTCCAGACTATGGTATACTCCTCAGAAGGGGCAGTTTGACCATATGCTCCCATGGGATTATGGCTGCCCTCTCACACTGGGATCATTATCACCTCTGAGGAGAACTCACAGTTATGATTTAGGACGTCCTCTATCTCACTGGATATACAACTTGGATCAATATTCTTTCTTAAAAATACACAGAGACTTACGTAATTTAACATTTCTAATTATTAGATTTATATAGCAAGACCACAGTTTTTAACTATTGAATTCTGGAGCTTTTTGACATATTTGTCACTAAAAATGCTATCTCAAGAATAATTACTATGAATATCACTGGAAAACAAGAAGAAGTAGAAATAAGAGAATAAAATATATTAACCATAATGAGTAGGACACTCAGAGCCACAAAACTTAAAAGTGAATACTGAAAGGCATACACCCAATTGGAAACAAACTCAAAATACATACTTTATGCTGTATAGAATCAATACTCAGCACGACTCCAATTCACAGAGAAATTGTACATCATATAAACACATAATACTGTTATCACAGGATCTGGTATACAGTGGGCACTAAATAAATGATAATGGAATAGAAATAGATTTTGTATACTTAAAAAATATAAATTAGGGGCTGGCCCGATGGTGTAGTCGTTAAGTTCATGTGCTCTGCTTCAGTGGCCTGGGGTTTGCAGGTTGGATCCCGGGTGCGGACATACACACTGCACATCAATCATGCTGTGGTGGCATCCCATATATAAAATAGACGAAGATTGCCGCAGATGTTAGCTCAGGGCCAATCTTCCTCATCAAAATATATATACATATATATGTAAATATATATGTGTGTATATATATATATATATAAACTGTGGAAAGCAGAATTTGTTGACAATTTCTGACTAACAACACTTGAGTCTGTCTAGTACATAAATATAGTAGATAAATTTTGTACATTGCTAGTAGGCATAGAATTTTCTGCAACAAAATATAAACTTTTTAGACAATAATTTATATAACTGTGTGACTTTAATAATGATCCAGAATTGAAAGCACTATGGCTATAAAGCTGTCTTCCAAATGCATATAAATAAGTTTCTCTGAAAAGACAGATATGCAAAGTATTACATTCTTATGAGGGAATGTGCAAAGATTCAAAATAAGGTTTACAAATCCACTGGCTGGAAACAGACAGCCAGAAATCTGGGCCATAAAGTTATTATTATAAGTATTACTGTAACCTAGGAAAGCTAAAAATTTTAATGGTTTTCTACTAACACCTTGAAACTGCAAAGTACTACAAAATAACACAGAGAATTATGAAGACTCATAGGAGGCCCCATGTCCTACTTGTGGTTTCCATTTCCAGATTTTCTGCTATAAAAACATTTCCCAACATTCAAGCTCACACTGGTCTTTAACGTTTTTGAAGCATCTCCTAGAAAGGCAACATTTCTCCCTGGAGGCCTGGATGTCATGATTTCACCCACTGTTGATAGATTATAAAATCCCTTAGAGCAGTATCAGAAACATGCAAATTAGCAACTCCAAAACCTTGCTATTGCTTTTCCAGCATCTATTTCTATGTTGGATATGTTTCATGTGTGAAAAGCAAAAGAGACAATCTCCAGACAAACTCATTCACCTGGAAAATAACTCATTCTTACCTCCTCCCTTAAAGGTACCCTCTGCTTCAATTTTTTTTTTAAAGCTAGGCAAATCTTTTTTTTTTTCTTTTTAAAGATTGGCACCTGAGCTAACATCTGTTGCAAATCATTTTCTTTTTCCTTCTTCTCCCAAAAGGCCCCCAATACATAGTTGTATATTCTAGTTGTAGGCCCGTCTGGCTGTGCTATGTGGGACGCTGCCTCAGCATGGCTTGATGAGCTGTGCCATGTTCCCACCCAGGATCTGAACGGGTGAAACCCTGGGCCGCCGAAGCAGAGCACGCGAACTTAACCACTTGGCTGTGGGGCCAGTCCCCCTTCAATTTTTGAAATAGGATTTCCTCTGTTTTACAAAAGCATCCCATTACCACCTATTGCTCCTAAAACACATAAAAAGTAGACTTAAGTTAACACGATTTGACTAAGTGCTTAAATGAACAGCTTTATAAGGAATTAGAAGATTAGTTAATGAAGCATTGAAATGTATACTTGAAAGAGCCTCCATTGTTCCTGAAGGGCCCAGGAATTCTCATTTCCACTTTATACATGAGGAAAATAAATAATCAATAAGTTAAACATCTTCCAGAGTCATTCATCAGGTGAGTGACAGAGATGAGAGGAGAACTTTGAAGCTTAGATTTCCCACAGAGTGAGTAATAAATGCTCTGGTAATACTGGTCCTGCTGCCAGCATTTTACACAAGGTCATAGAATCATAGAACCTTAAAGGTCCATCAGTCCAAAGATGTCCAAACCACATTAAAATTTATTTGAAGGTCAAATGAACAACTACAAATGATCTTTAGTTAAAGCAAATCAGGATAAATGTTCTGTTGAATTCTTTTCCTTATGGATTTTCTTTTCCAGCACTGAGGATATCTTTGGCTACTGGGGGAAAAAAAATATCGCCTTTAATAAATAGACTCTTTCATTACAGTGATTGCTAATATGCTGGTAAAGTCAACATGTGCTAATGTTTGTCTGATTATCAAGAGGCTTTTTGCATAGGTATTCATTAAATATTTATTGACTGGTTACTGTCACGACTGATTTCCTGGGCATTGGTGAAAGAGGGGTGAGTGAGACAGACAAAGTCCCTGCTCTCAGCAAGCTTCTATAACAGTGAGAAGACAAGATAAGCAAGCAAAAAAGCAAATGGTATAACTTCCATTAAAAGCAAGCACAACAAAGACAATAAAATTGGGTAACGTGCTGGTGACAGGAGGCAAGGGGTGGGGAGGGTGCAGTGATAATACTAGATGGAGCGATTAGGGAATACTCTGAAGTGCTGTTTTGAGCAAAGACTCAGATGATGAATGGAAAAATGAGAATTCTAGCCTGAGAAAAATGTAAAGTCCTAAGTGGAAATGGGTTTATATATTAGGTCAAAGTGGCTAGTAAGAAACAGGGGGAGAATGATGAGTGAAGAGGTTAGGCTAGGAGCAAATCACGTAGAAACTTCCAGGCATGGTTTCAAGAGCCATTCTAACTGTTTATTTGGTTTCATGGTGTCAGCCCCCACAGTTTGTTCTGAGTTATCTTTCTTTGTTTTCCTGTAACCAAGCATAATCATTTGTAATTGGAGTTATTGCTATTCTCATCTTGCAAATTTGACATTTATTAAGCTTATGAAGAAGAATAAAGTTCCAATAAATATTCATCTAATCAATGCAGAGACATTTATCGTACGGTGTACAAAGCTACCCAGTTAGTTTTTAGGACCCCAAAAAAGCCTTAAAAGAGAAAGAAGGATTTAAATTGGGCATTAAGGAAACAGCTCTCTAAATCAGCTCACAGGTGAAGTACTTTCAGCATAGAAAAATGATTTCTAATTACACATACTGAATTCCCAAGCCCAGGGACCTTTACATCATGGCACATTTTGAAATCAAATAATAGACAATTCTGCCACAAATTGAAACCTCAAAGGGCAATAAGTTACCTATAATAACACAAACATCCCTTCCTCAGCCCCCTCTAGTCATACCTGCTAACGTGGTGCATCCTTGCATCTGCTATTTTCCACTTTTCCTCTCATTACTAGTCTCTGCATTAGGCCTGTTAAATGAAATGCCTTGGGAGGACATTTTGTGAGGACAGGAGTACCTACTCACTTGTACCCTCAGGAAGAGGGGAGTATGAATGAACCACAGCAGCAAGGAAACCTTCCAATAATTTCAAGACGATGAACTGTATCATACCTGCACAGACTGGTCTCTCCAACAGGAAATTAGCTTCAAAAGTGAAACATCAGCTGTCGGTATATGGGATTCATTCTTACCTAGAAATATATAGAACACATTCATATCTTGAGAGTATTAAAAATGGATGCAACCCAATGGTCCTCAACCCCAGCTGCACATTAGAATCACTTGGGGAGCTTCTTATTTTTTTTCACAAACACCAGTGTCCAGGTTCAATCTTACAGAGATTCTCATTTAATAGGTCCCAGGGTGAGGATGGGGCAGGTATTAATATTTTGTAAAAGTACCTCAGATGATTCTCATGTATAGCCAGAGTCGAGAACCATTAATTAGTTGATATGTATTTCTAACAATTATATAAATACATATTCACATTAAATTAATTCATCTTTACACTTTAAACCCATCTTTGTACCCTTTTGACAATAGAAGTAACGACTAATATTCCTACCCAAAACAGATCATCAAATTTTACAATTCCTTCCTCATACAAATAGTTCCTGAAATTCTACCTTGCCATAAATCAGTATCTACCACACAGAAATCACATAAAAGACTTTCTTTGATTTGTCCTTACCCAGCTATAGTACTATGATCAATAGGTATAGCACTTATGTTTTAATTTGACTCATTTGGTTATGTATTGTTTCTTTTAAGTTTGCCCTCTTGAAAGTTCTTTTTATCTATTTGCCTTAATGTTAAGTGTGAAATTTTAAGAGTAAGCTAGGGTTTGGTTTATTTAAATTGATCCATAGAGTGTCCAGCAGTTTCCTACACAAAAAAGCACTTAATAAGTACCTTTTCATTAATTTAAAATGTACATATTATCATCCAAATGAAAAATCGATGAATTAAGGCTTTCTGAAAACTAAAATGTATTATCTAGGTGCCAGATCCCAGGAATGAGATAAGAAAGAATGATGAGGGCTTGCCTGCACTGGAGTGAAAATTACTATAATTGTCTATTTAAATTAACGTATTAATATATGTTTGAAAGCTGGTACCAACTATTTAAATTAGCAGTATTAATGCAATATGCTTGTCATTGAATCACCATTTTATATGTTAATAACTGTGTATATATGTGTATGAATATATGTATATTATACACACACATATAAGAATATATATATATTCACACACATATATCACATTAGTAGTTAAGGGAAATGGGATAGAAGGTATTGGATATAATGTAAACTGAGAATATGAAGGAAATACACACGAAAATTCTGGGTCACTATTAACATCATTATCTTTTCCTGATGGAACACATAACGTGAATTTGCAATGACCAAGATCAGTGCATAAAAATTTAAATATGATAGAGCACTACGATTTTGAAGTCATATTTACCATTTCTTCATGAGCACAGCAGGTAAGAGAAAATCTTCTTTTGATCTCTCTCCTGTTTCCCTCTTTCATTTTGTTGACCTTGTGACTCTACCATCAAAGCTAAGTATTGGTCTCAACTACCTCTACTTACTGGCATCACGGGGTACTTCACAGTGCACTTTAATGTGATGTTAAAATTTTAATATGAGGTAGAAATAAGAGCCAACTTTTCTTGGCAATGTCAGTGAGTTAAAGAATTAATTGCAACTTCAGGGAGAAAGATAAAAAGAAAACATCTCAGCTTTACCAGTATTACTCAGTCACCATTTCTGCTGACAGAAGTGGATATTGGTTCTTGTCAACCCTTTAGAATGAGCAACTCAGAGCATTATTTTATTCTTCGGGCTTTGACTTTATAGAATTAATAGCATGAAGTTAATCCCTCCTTTCCTTTCACCTCCTGTCTTCCAATTATTAAAACACAAAACCATGTTTCCTTAGTACCTAACTGAATTTTAAATGCTATAAATGCCACCTTGAAATACCAGGGACACTATTCAGTAGTAACACTAGTTGCTCAGGCTGCTTTGGTTGGGGCAGCCATAGGAAAAGCTGGGGCCTTTTGGCTCTGGTTAGCTATTCTCTCAGTCTCTGCAGAAACCACTTATATTGTGCCTTTAACTCAAATCCCTTTCTCAGTGTTATAAAAAATGAAAATGAGCATAAATACCCTAATAAGGGCTACTACTAAGGAGAAGGTAGGCAACCCAGACTGGCACCATATGATGGGAACACTACTTGTATCATAAATGTGAGAAGTGGTTTGACATACTGGCAAGAGCAAGGGATTTGGAATCAGACAGAGCTGGAGTGGAATCCTGGACCCTTGGCTTAATAGCTATTAGACTATGAGTGAGACATCTAACTTCTCTGAGCCTCAATTTTCCTAAGGGTAAAACACAGATAGTTCCTCCTATGTGCAGGGTTGTCTATATATTAATTGAGGTAATATATGTAAAGTCATTAGCATAATTCTTTGAACATCCTAGGTACTCAATAATTGGAAGCTATTAATAAACTGTCACTTTAAAATATCTCAAATATTCTTTTCAATAGCCCTGAGAGGGCCCCTATGTACTGTTCTTCAGGTAATCCCAGTGTATTGATCTTCTACTCCATAACTTTGGAGGCAATATGCACAACAAGTCTGGAATCTTATTCTCATTTTACAAATGCAGTAAATTCGGCTTTTAAAGGAGTAAAAGACATGCCCAAAGTTACACAAGGAGTAAGTGGCAGAACTGGATCTTGAACCTCAGCTGTATGTCTCCAAAATTACTGTTCTATTCACCATTCTTCCATTAATCCCAAAGTATTTGCTTAGTTTCTTGAAGGCATTTTCCTAGCAACTGGGAAAATAGCAGTGAATAAAATTGTCCTAAAAAAATAACCCCTATGGAGCTTAGATTTTAGTAGCAGGAAGTAGACGGCAAATGAAAAAACAATATATAGTATGTCGGAGAGTGAAAAGGATTATGGAAACACTAAAACAGGGAAAGGGGTAGGGTGTGCTTGGGAGAAGAGAGGGCACCTCACTGATAAAATGGCTTTTGAGCAAGAATTGAAGGATGTAGGGTGGGGGTGGGGGGAGCAGCAGGTTGGCCTCTGTGGAATCTGGGAAAAAAGCACTCCAGGCAGAGGCAACAGACAGTGCAAAGGCCCTAAGATGTACCTGCCATGTTTGGGTAAGAGTAAAAGGCCAGTACGGCTAGAACTCCAGGAGCACGGGTAAGCACAAAGAGATGAGGTCAGATTGGGGGGGAGGGGGCGGGGGCGGTGTGATGACACAGGCAGATCAGCCAGGTGAGCTCTCCTAAGGACTGTAGCTTTTATTCAGAGTGAAACAGAAGCCGCTGAAAGGTTTTAGCCAGAAGCATGAGGTTTTGACGTAGTTTTGAATAGATCACTCTAGCTGCGTGGTTGAGAATAGAGTGTAGGAACAAAGAATAGGAGCAGACAGGTGGTTAGGAGACTTCTGTCATCATCCAGGCAAGAGGCGATGAAGGGTCACACCATGGGTGGTCGTGTAGGTGGGGAGAAGCAGTCAGAATCTGGGATATATTCTGAAGGTAGAACCAATATGATTACTAAAAGATTGGATGTGGGGTATGAGAGAAAGGGTAAAGTCAAAACGACACCAAAGTTCTTGGCCTGAACAAGTAGAAATAGAATTGCCATTTACTGAGATGTCAAAGATTTGGAGAAGCTGGTTTTGGGGATGAAGTAGCCATTTGGCATCAAAAGAAAACCTAAACACTCAGAACAATTCAAGGACCACTATATAAACTTCTGAAATAGCTCTAAAATTCTATAATCACTTATTTGGTATTAAAGATATTAATATACTTCTCCATAAATCACATGTGACCTTAAACATCCAAATATTTCCTTTGCTGAAAAGTTTCAGACTTTCAGGCATTTCAAAGATCATTTGATGAAATCCATCACATTATGTGTCTTACAAGATGTTATTTAATAAACAAATTTCATATATATTTCAAATATATGCAGAAAGCAAAACTATAACCATGTGAAATGAAAACTAAATCAAATAATAAATACACACACTGCTCGTTCTAAACTGTAGAGTGCTATCCAGTTATAGAAAGACTAGTTATTTTATTTTATAGAAGAAAAATAAATCAGACTATATCTGTGGTTCCTTTACCATTACGTAAGTAACCATGGAAGCTTGAAATCTTCAAAACATCATTCCCAGGACTTTTCATCTTGTTATGCACAGAGTCCATTTTGAAAGAACTGTTGAAAAAAAGATTTAAAGGATATTATTAAATATGTCTGAAAAATATTCTGAGAAATAAATTGAAGATATGGGTGCATGACCACTTTAACAAATTTGGGAATTGAACACCTCACTTTTTGAATTTCTTCCATATTAACGTCTTTGGTGAGTCTTATTTCCCCACTTTGCTCCTGCCTAGAACTTAACCCCAATTGAATTGTGAATCTTAGTTTACCAGAATTGTCTCGTGATCCAGTTTTACAGGAGAGGCCTTGTTACTTTAGATCATGTGATCTGTGGCTAATGCAATAAATTCTGGAATCCTAATATGTTGACATCTGCCAAAGAATTCTCACCAGGTACTGTCAAGACCTGATGGAGGCAGGCTTACCCTAGTCCATTGATTCATAGGAACTTTCCAGTTCTCATAGGCAGATGGCTCTTTCCTTAAAATTCAGTTACATCATGCACCCAGTTATTAAGCATACCAGGATTTCTCAACCTTTACAACCACAGTGAAATGTTACTGAAATTGTCAAATTTGTTAGAAGGGTTTGGTGTGACAAATCCAATACACATTATTTTGATTTCCTGAAAAATGACCTGCAGTTTCTGACAGCAGATTGAATCTAAAGTGACTGATTTAGGGAAGCAGTCTCTAATTCTGACACCTCCATTCAAAAATTTGTTTTAATGAAGAATTCTGTAAAGAATTAACTAATGTGTGGCAACGATTTTAAGGCCATTTCATGGAAGGCATGCTGAAAGTCCATAATCTCCCGTAAAGGGCACCAGACACACCCTCGACCTCCTGTACTCCACATCAGGAACAAAGTCAGAATAAAAACTGGAAAACAATACTAAGTCCCTTATCTACTCTGTGGGATCATGATTAGGCGGACAAATAAAATTTGTTAGCAGTCCAAGGTTTTAAGAATTTGAAGAAATCTTAGTGATCACCTATCTCACCCACCTCATTCTGTAAATGAGGACAGTGTGGGCCAGAAGGCTAAGTGACTGCTCCACAGCCACATGACCAGTTAAACAGCAAAACTGGATTCACTCTCAGATTTTTTAGGCTCCAGGCTGCCTTCATTTTTTTTTTTTTTTTTTTTACCATAGTTTAGGTGCTCTGTAATTTTCTTAGTAATAGAAAGAAAAGAAAGAGAAGTCTATCTGAAATTAAAAATATATACATCTAGCTAGGCACTCAAAATGAATGAAAGAAAAGAAAATAGAGGAAAAGTAAGTATACGAATCACAGAGATCCACCAGTCTCTGTTTCTCACTATTAGGGCCACCAAACATAAAATAGAAAACTCTGTAGCATAGAAGCATTATAATGGAAGGAAACATTACACTGAATCCTATGTAATCCATATGGACTTGCTGCCAGATTGTAGGTTCACTGAGGGAAGGAACTGTGTCTATTTACTGTTCCTGGCACAGGTATTTGTTGAACTGAGCTCTTGTCAATGAACAGAAATGTCAAGGACTGTTTAGCACCATGTAGTGGGCAGTTCAAACAGTATCTCTTCCATAAAGGCTTTCTGATGGTTTCATCTCACACTAATTATTCTCTTTACACTGACCACCTGTAATACTTATCTATCCTATGAATGTTTTTCCTTGTTCCTTTACCCTGCTTCAGAGTTTCCTACTTATTTCACGTGCATTATCTTTATCATTTGAATGAGTTCCTACCCAAAGGAGAGATTTATTTATATTTCCTCTGTAGGCTAGTGTTAAGGCCAGTAAGGATTTGGTGCATTGAATCCAATCCTCTAACATCAGACTATGGAAAACCACGTTGAATTTTAGCAGTGGGAGAGGGTAAACATCCAGAGTCAAGGTTAGTAATTAATTAGGCTCTAGAATAAGCCTTGAATCAGCATCTAGGGAACTGAACGAATCTTGAGGTTGATACTTTCTCTTCATAAGCCTCAATATCCTCATCTATACAATGAGCAAAATAATAGTACCTGTATCCCAGCTTTGCTGTGCATATGAAATGAAATCATGTATGTAAAGAGCTTATATGGTGACTAGTAGACATTAAACATTCAAAAAAATAGTTATTATTACTGAACTGTAGTTTCTAGAAATGAATTACTGATAGTCTCTTCTATTTTAATACGCCAGGGTACAAATTAAATAGTGGAATTTGAGGTGTAAAATCTTCAAACATTTCCTTTCCTGATGATATATGAAATACATCATAGGCATTTACCTAAATGTTCTTTGTTCCTACTTAATTCACAGCAAGGATAACGGATTTTAAGGTGTGCACGAATCTATCTATCTATCGAATCATTCAGCATCCAGCAGTATGATTTCCCTGGCACATATTATGAGAGCAAAGGATTTGTTGTTTTGTTGAATGCAACAAATTTTGAAGTTTTTTTGAATGAATAAATTTTAAAACATATAGATTTATTGTCTAAATTATCTTCTAATACCAAAGAATTAAAAGGTAGATTTTCTTAAATATGTTTTGAGCCGAAGGAATTCTTGCATATTTACTCTTTATGAGAAGAAAGGAAGGAAAGAAGGAAAGGAGAGAGGGAGGGAAGAAGGCTAGAGAGCTGAATATTGCAAATAATGATAACATTTTTAAAGTCTAGAATAATAACAGTCAAAATTTCTAGGCATGTCTTACCTGTCAATTCCACATGCCAATTCTAAAGGCATGTTAACTAACTTATTAACTAAAAATATTCTGCTCAATAAATAAACTATAGTTTTTGACTCTTGCAAAGAATCACAATTATTTTCCAGTCCTCTCTGCATCCCAGTCTGATTTGGAAGAGTGGATGTGTATTTATTTGCCAAGTCCAAAACTTTACTGGAAAACAAATTTACTTTTGAATAGTCTTTTTTCATTTCAGCATTGCATACATCCCAACCTGGCAGCATCAATGAGAAGTGATCTTCACTTGAAGCAAGTCCTAAAGAAACAGGACCCTGAAGCTTTAAAATATTGAGATGCTTAATGCAGAGATTATCTAATTCTTTATCCACGCCCCATGGTAAAAGGCAAGAGAGAAGCAATTTAGCTGTGTCTATTGTGAGGTTGGCATCGACTTTTCTTGATGGCTTAGGGTGCATCTTTTTGGAGCACTTCATTTTCTTTTGCCTTTTAATGCCATCATTTTCTTCTAAGAATTTGATGGTATTATCTCCTTGGGTTGGGCTTTCACTAACAGGCTTGGCTTGTGCCTCCGCTGGGAGAGGACCACAGGCAGTTTTATTTCTTTTCAGCGTCAATGTTTTCTTCTCGACTGTGCTTTTGGCTCTTCTCAGAATCTCACTACCATAAAACGAATTGGAAGGGTCAACATCACAGACTGGAGTTGGCAACAAAAGTTCAACAAGGTTTTCCAGATCAAATAAAAGGATATGAAAGCCAGTGCTACTCCATTTTGTTTTCACAGGCAAGACATTAAAAGGTCCTGAGAAACACTTGGCATCAGCAACCTAAGTGAGATAAAAAAAGTTATGTGTCAAAGTTCTTATTTTTTAAGTGGTTTTATTATAGTTTCCATGATATTAAAATGGCATAAAAAGGAAATATTAAGTAACAGTATAACTAAAGGCAAGTCATTTCAATTTTTTTGTCTTAGCTGTAAAAATTCCCCTCTAGGGGCCGGCCTGGGGGCACAGTGGTTAAGTTCACATGTTCTGCTTCTCAATGGCCCAGGGTTCACCGGTTCAGATCCCCGGTGCGGACATGGCACTGCTTGGCACGCCATGCTGTGGTAGGCGTCCCACATATAAAGTAGAGGAAGATGGGCACGAATGTTAGCTCAGGGCCAGGCTTCCTCAGCAAAAAAGAGGAGGACTGGCAGTAGTTAGCTCAGGACTAATCTTCCTCAAAAAAAGAAAAAATAAATAAATAAAATAAATAAATAAAAATTCCCCTCTAAATTAAACATTCTACATTCTAAGATTCTTTGAAAACTTTTTTTCCTTTCTAAAACTTATTTTTATCTAAAAAATTATGAATTAGGCCTGTGGAGTAAGACAGCATCAGATTAACGTCCTTTAATACACACTTTCACTTCTTCCTATCAATATAATACTGAAGACATACAACAGGGAAAAAGTGGGTTTGAACACTAAAGAGAACAGTTAGAACATCTACAAGAATTTAGGAAGCCTTTTACTAAAAATGGTCTCTCCAAATGTGTTAAAATTTTAAATAATTGGAAGTAACCTAAATGTTAAACAATATCAAATTGCTTTTTTTTTAAGGCTCACCTTGTGGACTTGCATTATTCTTTCTCTGCCTAAAATGAGTTTGCCCTAAATACTAGCATAGTGGGCCCCTATATTTCAGTTATGTTCCTTCTCACATATAAGGCCTTCCTTGAGTACCTAATCCCTCATACCAACCCATTACTCTCCATCCTCTTTCCTGCCTTTTTTTCTTCTTCGTACTTATGATTACCTTATATTATATGAAATATTTGTTTACTGTATATTTTCCCCAATAGCATTCAAACTTCACCTTTGCAGGAGTTTTATGTATTACTTTGGTCCTAAGGCCTTTAAGATGATGCAGCATTATTAAGAGGCTCAATAAATATTTCTTGAATGAGCTTATCATATTTATACAACAGAATACCACTGAAATTTTTTTTGAGGAAGATTAGCCCTGAGCTAACATCTGCTGCCAATCCTCCTCTTTTTGCTGAGGAAGACTGGCCCTGAGCTAACATTCGTGCCCATCTTCCTCTATTTTATGTAGGATGCCTGCCACAGCATGGCTTGACAAGCAGTGCATAGGTCCGCACCCAGGATCCCAACTGGCAAACGCTGGGCCTCCAAAGCGAAACGTGTGAACTTAACCGCTGCACCACCGGGCCAGCTTCTCAAATATTTTTAAATGATGGTGTAAAACTATATTTATTGGGAAAAGAAGAGTTCTATTAGGCAGGAAAAATAATCCCCTTTTTGTAAAACTATATGTGTGTGAATATATAGATATTTCTACATATTGATATATACATATATACACATAAGCACAAATATATGTATATAAATATATAGTTAATATATAATATAAGCACATATATTATACATAGTCAATACATATATAGTCAATATAAATATATGTGTGTGTACATACATCTGTTATATATATAGTCACAAAGAATATGCAACAAAATGTTAAAAACAGTTAATTGAGAAGAGGGGATTAAAATGATCTTTATACTTTAGGGGCTTTTGGTTTTTTTATTTAGTCTTTTGGAATTTTTTGCAGTGATGATCTATTTAATTTACAATCATAGAAAGAGAAAATTTTAAAAAACAACCATAAATAATTTCTAAAAGTAAAAAGACAAAATGGGGACAAACCTAAAAAACACATTTTTCCACCAATAAGATAGTAGAAGGGTTAGTATAATTATTAACAAATAATTTCTGAAAACCAAAAATAGTACTATACAGACTGAAACATGGGCAAATAGCATCAACAGCAATTCACAAAGAATAATATTCAAATTAAAATATTGATTACCACCAGTAGTAATTAAGAAGTGAAATTAAGATAATACTATTCATTACCTATTAATTTAGCAAAAAGAGTTTCTTACATTAATTTATTTAATGTTTAATACATACAAAATAATATATAAATCATACATTTAGTCTTTGTAAGATTATCAATGTTGTAGACCAAGAAACATGGACATAACTATACAGTATCATTATCCATAAGTGCTCCAAACTAGAAACAACCTAAATGTCCATCTACAGTGGAATGGATAGACATTGTGATGTATCCATGCAATGGAAAAACATGCAACAATGTAAATGAAAGAACTATAGACATTCAAAAACATGTATAAAATGTATGACTCTACCAACATAATGTTGACCAAAGAAGCTAGACACAAAGGAATTAACTGTCTGCCTTATCTATAAGGATACTGGTTACCTTTGGAGGACATAATTTCTGGGGTGCTGAATATTTTACTACTTAATCTATGTAGTGATTATGCAGGTGTGTGCTTTGTGACAGTTCACTGAGCTGTATATTTTTGTCCTGTGTTCTGGGTTTTTTTTTCCTATAGGTGTTACATATTTCATAGTAAATAAATAATGTAAATGAAAAGTTAAAGGAATATTAACCAAGTGTCCCCATCCAGGTTAGAAAATAGAACCTGTCCTGATTCTATACCCCTGCCTACTGTCAGAGGTAACCAATATTGGAATTTCATGTTCATGATTTCTTTGCTTAGGTTAAATATATACTCCTAATAGACCTATTTAATTTTGCATGTTTTTTTATTTTCATATAAATATTAATTGTGCTATTTATAATTTTCCCTGATTTACTTATGCTGAATTTGACTTTTGCAAAATTCATGGTGATGATTATAGTTGTATGTGGTTCTTTCATTTTCACTGCTTAAAGTATTACATTCAATGATAACTATAGCTTATTTATCCATTGCTTTTAAGTCGACATGTAAATTATTTTCAAGATTTACTATTACAAAAAGAAAAAGTTTACAGTGAATATTCTTTGGGTAAAGACTTTTGGTGCACATTTTCAAAAGTTTCTGGAGTAACATTGATAATTCACAGAATATGCACATCTTCAACTCTATGAGACTATTTCAAATTTTTTCCTCAAATGATTGTACCAATTTATAAATCTCATAGCATTGTATAAAGAGTTTCCATGTTCCACATCCTTATTAACACAGGATCTCATTTTTGTCAATGTGAAGAATATAAGTTGGTATCCCTTGTAGTTTTAATTTTCATTTCTTTATTACCATTAATTGAATATTATTGCAATATTTCATTGGCCTTTTATGTTTGTTCTATAAAATGCCTACCTATGGTTTTTATAAACTTTCTATTCGTGCTTTTCTTATTGATTTTTAGGCTTATGTATTTATTCTGGAAGTAATATTTTGTTGGTTATGTGGTCCAAATATCTTCCATTTGTGGCTTGTCTTTTCACTATTTTTATTAGTCTTTTCTGAAGAACATAGAATTCCTATTTTTAAACTGTCAAATTTAAGAAACATTTACTTTAAAGATTATACCTTTTGAGTCTTCTTTAAAAAGAAAAATGAAAACTTTCCCTATCTAGAGGAAATAAAAATTTTTATCTATACTTTTTCTAAAATTTAAAGTTCCACACAAGTTTTTAATTCTTTAATACTTTTTCATTTTCATGTTTGGTTTGCAATAGGGAATAATTGTCATTTTTCTAATGTCGATATCCAAATGTTCCATCATCATTTGTGAATTTGTCCTTTTCTCACTGATCTGTTACCTAGGACATTAATCAATTTATCTATGGCTGTACAATACTCCATTGTTTAATAGCTTTACAAAAAGACAAAATCTGGTTGGTAGTTTCTCGTATCCTGTTCTTCCTATGGTCTTTTACTCTTCTATATAAATTTGTGGATGTTCCTAGAGTTCCAGATTATATCTCCCACTTATTTAGACCCTGGTTAATTTCTTTTGATAGCTTTGTAGTTGTTCAAAAGATTGTTTATATGATTTGCTTATCAATTTTTAATCTTTCTGTAGCATCTATAACTATGGGTCCTTTTCATTTCTGGTATTATTTTTGTTGCTTTTGTTTTTTTCTTGCTAGAGGTTTGTCAATTTTTATATTCTTTTCAAAGAATCAAATTTTGACTTTGCAGATCCTCTCAATGGAACAATGTTTTTCTTGGAGGATGGTTTCACTGAGTATACTATTTTAACTTGACTTATTTTCTCACAGCATTTTTGAAGGCATTATTCTGTGGTCTTCTGGCTTGCTTTGAAGTGGTTGAGATGTCAGCAGGTAGTCTGCCACTCCACTTGTCTTTTCCACTGCTTTTTAGATCTTTTTATCTTTAATGTTCTGCTTAGAATTGTAGAGTCACCACAATTCTTCTAGGTGTGGGTGTTTTCCACTAAGCCTACATCATATCTGAGTATTCCTATATTTCATTAATTTTGTGGCATTCTCAGACTTATCTCTCTATTTTCTCTCCCTATTCTATTATTCCCTTCTGCAACCCTGATTAGCTATTTGTCAGACAGTCTATCCCGTTTCAAGATTTTCATGTCTTTGTCTCTCTGTGCCACATGCTGGGCAATCATTTCAGAATTTTTCTTTTAGTTTGCCAATTTTCTTCTCACCTGTCTTTACTTTGCCATTTAACTTACCCATTGAGTTTCTAATTTTTGATTTTTACATTTTTTCATTTCCAGAAGTACTATTTGGTCCCTTTAAAAAACAAATTGGTCACTTTTATAGCCAGTTACTTCTTACTCATATTTTTAAACCCTTCTTTTATTTTTTAAAGACACTTATTTTGTGTGCTATGTCTGTAATTCCAATTTTTAAAATCTTCATGAGTATGACTCTGTTTTTTGATTTTGCTGATGCTCTCCTGTTTCCTTATATGTTTTGCAATTCTGTGTGTGTGTGTGTGTGTGCATGTGTGAAA